TTTAAATCATTTAAAACATGTATAAAATCGTTCATTTAGCATAGACAACAAGTACTTAAATTATGTGCACACATAACACGTAATTTATATTAAATACTTCATATCTTTGTGTAAGATGAAAGTAACTATGCACTCACTTGAAAAGGTGGTGATTCCGAACTCAGACAACGCTTCACTTCTTGAAAACAAATAATTTCCTTCGACGAAACCTAGTATTATTACCACTAGATTTTAGTCTATTATTCACCGAGACTAATTAATAGTATAGCTATTATTACTATTATATAACCGTTAAATAATACTTATATAACCCATAATAATAGCCCAATTAGTTATTATATGTTCTTAATAACATTAATATAATTAAATAAAAACTATATTAAAAATAGCGTAGGCGTAGCTCACTTACAGCGGGTTTTATAGAAAACCAGGCTTTGCTTGGAGCAGCATTCCCGTGCGGAAAAGATCTTCTTCTCGGAGCCATCGAGCACTCAGGGGCTTTCGCCTCGTGCTAGGGAGGTTCCCTAGGCTTTTCGGGGGGGTTTCGGGGCTAGAGAGAGCTTCTAGAGAGAGAGTAAAGAGAAGAAAGAATGAGAAAGGTGTGATTTTTGGTGTGAAGAAAATCAGGGTGGGAGAGGTTCTATTTATAGGGTGAAAATGGCTGAACTTGGTGCCACATGTCACCATCTAGTGGCAAGACTTGGGGAGAAAGCAATGGCCAGTATTGTGCCACATCATCCATTTTCGCACATCACACTTCCGACTTCTAAAATCCGTACCTTTCACATATGACCTCCGCTTTTGACGTTATTTATATCCACGCATAAGTAAAAATAATATCTACAACTTTCATTTTGACTCCGTCGACTAATTCTCGATCGATCTTAAATTTAACAGTACGAAGCGTTTATACTGTTAAATGACCGTGAAGAATTCGTAACTCCTTCATACAGACTCTGTTTTTGTCTGTCTTTTTACTGTTAAGTTCCTATTAATGAGATCTTCAACTCTCATTTAAGTCATGTAAGCCAAAAACCGCTCGAACTAAAATTCGAGTTTCGGATCGTGCACTACTAAGCCGAATCTTAGAAAAATCATAACTTCTTCATACGAAGTTAGATTTGGGCGTTCTTTTTATGGATTTTCTCAGTTTAACATTTTCTATGACTTTCGTTTAGATTACTAAGGCTAAAAATTCCTCCATCGTAAAATCACTATTTACGCTTCCCGGTGCCGTGTTGGTTCCTTCGCGAAACTTCGACGGGTCATAACTTCTTCGTTATAACTCGGATTTCGACGCTCTTTATATGTACGGAAACCTTGTGACATATTCTAAAACTTGGTTAAGATTATTTAGAATAAATAATCTTTTCTTGAAAAGTCATTTTCGACCCCTATTACCTCTAAATTGACTAGCCCGGATCTACGGGTGTTACAGGTTGATCGCATCATACGCACCCATGATTTTTCCGCATGTTGGCTCTGATGTATTTCTGGATGATTGTCATTATACTTTGATTTCAACATTATGTTTTTTTTTTGTAAACAGTGAATGGTTGGTGGTTTTATCTGATCTAAAAATGAAAATTTTGGCTATAATTTTGGGATGTTACATAACCCGATAAAACTCTCAAATCCAGAGAAAAATTCCATAATAACCGAAAATGTTGTCAGAACCATGATCGGATCAACCCAAATACCAACTCTGTCAACGCGACATGCCGAAACTGGACTCTGTGTAGACCGAAGGTCACAACTGAAATATTGAACAATTTTGCTGCAATATACGAACTTTTACTACCCAAAGACAACCGCCAAACACGAGCTTCCTAAAACAAAATCCCACAACCAGACAACCAAGGGTACACACCCAAAAACCTAGATATACAACGGAAAAAACATTGATAAAGGGTTGACGCACCAACTGCACCTTCAACTATTGCTACTCAAAACCCCCAAACGACCCCCAAATGATGACGAGGAATGGAATGGCCAATCAATCGAAATGAACCGACAATATATTGTTGAACGAATCCCATACATAAATACATATACTGAACTTTGAAGTTGATCAACATATCAACCGGTGCGCATCTTGAACAAAGATAACCGACCGATACCACGATTTAAACATGCTCTCTATTTTCAATGCACAACCTGAGCGCCCTCCTCTATTAAGATCCCCTTGGCGCTTCCAAAAGGAACTACTGACAACACCGAGCTCCTTGCCCAACAACTTTCTGCTATGAGGACAACACATGCGCCCCTGAAGACATAAGACATAATCCTGAGAGCAATTTGCTACACGATCTGACCAATCCTTGAATTCTCCATGACCATGAAAAATACTATTTCGTTAAAAAACCGTAGATATCTGCTAGACAGGTTATAGTTACCCAACAGGAGCAGATACATGGTCTAGCGAGTAAAAGTTCCAAAAAATAATAACTAGAATCAGTTTCAAATTTTAGGAATCAGAGCTGAAACTGGTCATATTGGTTCATGTTCTAGAACAGCCGGTTCCTATGTGGTTCTAGTTTCGATGCTCACCCCTAGTAAGGTGTTGTTTGTTTGCAATTTAATGGAATGAATTATATAAGAACCTTATTCATTAAATCGTATCTACATGAGTTAATGACTTTCCTAAAAAATATGAGTGAACCTTATTCATTAAATCGTATCTACATCAAGATGTTTAAACGCATGCTTGTCTTGATGTAAAAAGGATCACCTTGTGTTCCTTCAATCATGATTGGAGGTGGTCAAACTTTATGTTTGGTTTCAGACACTTGTCTTTATCATCACTGTAACTATAACAGGAACGTGAACATGCTTGTCTTCAAGTCCAAAAAACTGTTAATTCTCATATATTTAATTGTGGGATAATGTATGAAAGTCCAAAAAACATTTGGAGAAAATAAGAAAAACATAGTTAATCAGTGAAAGAATATTGTATGGCAGATTGTCTAAAAGTGATGCCGAGGGCAACGTGGTTGTTAAATATTTGGTAATCTGGATAAAATCAATTGCTTCATCTTTCTAAAGGTGAATGCCTACACGGATTTATTGTTTTATCTTGCTAATTGATTGCTGAAGACAAAAATACGAATTTGGTCCTGGTATTTAAAAACATTTGGATACGGTCCCATAGTTTTTCAACTTGGATGGAAGATCAAAAATCAAAATGTTTCTGTGTTTTTTGTCCAAAAAAATTTGAAAAGACGATTATGCCCTTTTAATTTCTTTTTTCTATAATTACTTTAATGCTATTTTAATATGAAAAAAAAAAACAAAAAGTATTGGAACAACCACCCATCCCCACGTACTCTCTCTCTCACACACACATACAAAAACTCACTCTTTCCCTTTCCTTTTCCCTTTCTATTTCTCTTCTTAGTCTTCCACACCTATCATATACAAATCAGAAGAAAAAAAAAAAAAACAGATTGTTTTTTACATTGCTACTAGATTACACACACAAGGAGTCCCCCAAAATTTAGGTTCTTAAGATTTTTTTTTGCCCAGCTTCAAAAACCAAACTAATGTTATCGAGATCAAAAACGCACACACCACACCTTTAAATCTAGAGCTTCAGTTCTCTCTCTCTCTCTCTCTCTCTCTCTATATATATATATATATATATATATATATATATATATATGTGTGTGTGTGTGTGTGTGTGTGTGAAGAATTCAGATAAGTTCCTATCGCCAAATCCTCCACACCATACCTTATGATGCACCTTGCCTTTATCATCTTTCAACATACACCCAACCCTCTAAATTATATTGATGAATATCATTGTCCTGCTCAGATATTTACAAACAATGATCATAAATTTTGGAAATAGATCAATAGTAAGTTAGGGTTAGGTATTATTAAATCTATTGATAATGTTTTCAAGAAAATTGAATGAGTTCAAGTGCATCGATGAACAAGGGCATACCTGTCACCCATACGCTTCGTGAAGATCTAAAGCAAAGTCGCATAATCATCTCCATCGAGTAATATTCCCAACTCCTTACACTTTGTAATATGTTTATCTGTGAATACATCTCATACTCTATTCTTCAAATTCAAAGAGTACGACATCATTATTTCTAAGGGTGATTGGAAGAGAAAAGGGTGTAGCATCGTGGGGGACACTAGAGATGAAAGCAATTTCTCCTTCTTCGACTTCATTGACTACTGAGTGGACTGGGAGGTCGTGAATGGCGGTGATGCTACGGTGGTCAGTATGGGAAAACATCGAGATATGGAGGTGATGAAGATGAAGAAATGTCGAGCGGTGTTGGTGGCGTCGAATGTAGGATTTGCTCGGATGAAGTTTTTGATTGTTGAATCCATTAGGATTTAGGGCTTCATAACGGGAATGGATGTGATGAAGCCGACCTCTTTTTTATGAGAGAGAGAGAGAGAGAGAGAGAGAGAGACATTTTTTTTTCTTTTATATTTTAAAAATTCTCCAAATACGAAGGAAACAAATCAAAGAAGAATAAAAAAATCCAAAAATAAAATTAAAAGGGTATAATGGTCTTTTCAAGTTTTTTTAGGCCAAAAACACAGAAACATTTTGATTTTGCACATTCCATGCAAGTTGAAAAGTTTTTTGACCCTATCCAAAGGTTTTTAAATATCACAGGGACCAAATTTGTAGTTTTGTCATTCCTGAATTTTAATAAATGACAGTTAATTCATTTAAACTTGTATCAGAAACACCAAAACAATCTAATATTAATCAACATGGTATATCTTATTGTGAGTGCGCACTAAAACTCAAAGACAAGGTAGTCTAATTAGCCAACGGGTGTTACTGCAATCCACAAAACATAACATATCTCTGATATCTAGAACAAACATAAAACGTTCAATAGCATGTTAGATCAACTATTCAAGTACCCTCTATTAAACCAAGTATATGTTGAATTTAAATAAAAGTTCATCATATTAAAATTTCTCAAAACTTTAATGAATTAACAAAACTGAAACCCAAATGCCATCTACACTTCCTTTGGCACAAGCTTACCAATCAGCTTAAGCAAAGAAGCATATAAAGATCTAGCTTTGATGTGATCAAGCAACATTGCTACAGTTGAAGCATCAAGTGAGAAACCTTTTCTTTCCATTTCCTTTAAAAGCATCTCTACTACATCATGTTGTTGGTTCTTTAAAAATCCTTGGAGAATAATGCGGTAAGTCACAACATTTGGCAAGCAGCCTCTCTTTTCCATTTCAATAAACAAATCTTTTGCTTCCCCCATCACACCTTCCCGGCAAAACCCACCAATCATTGTATTATATGTCCAAATATTAGGTGTTAAACCTTTAACAATTAGTTCATTGAAAAGGTTCCTTGCAATATCAAACTTCCCGCTTTTAGTTGCACCATCAATAAGTATATTGTACACAATAACATTTGAATTTAGGTTGTTGTCACCTATCAAATAGAATAAAGAGAGTGCTTTCTCCACTTGATTGTTGTTGCAAAGACCCTCCAAAATTATTCTGTAAGTGCATTCATCCGGAATCAAGTTGTGTGCTCGCATATCATTATAAACTCCATGAGCATCTTTACAACGTCCAACTCGAAACAATCCATGTAACATGGTACTGTAAGTGATCACATCGGGTTTCATACCTTTTTTAGTTATTTCATTAAACAAATGCATGGCGTCTTCTATCTTCAATTTCTTCCAATACCCATTCAATAAACTATTATAAGTGACAACATCAGGAACCACACCTCGAAATTCCATTGAATCAACAACTTCCCTTGCTTTGCTCATTTTGCCTCGCAAACAATACCCATCAATAAGTGAATTGTATGTCACTATATCGGGATCCTTGCCTTTTTGGATCATTAAGTTGAAGACACCTTTTGCATCTTCAACATTACCTTCTTTGCAAAGTGCATCCACTAATATATTGAAAGTATGAACATCTGGGGAAATCCTTTGTTGTTCCATTTCTTTGAGCATTTTATCAACCTCCTTCCAATGACATAAGTTACAAAGGCCATGAATCAGAGAGGTGTAAGTCACAACATCAGGTAGAATGCCCTTTTGGAAGACCATTTCTTTGTAGAGGTTTAAAGCATCATTTACCATTTTGTCCTTACAAAGACTATCAATGATGGTGTTATATGTGACGACATTAGGTTTACAATCCTTTTCGTCCATTAGTTTAAGCAAAGCAATGGCTGTATCATTAATACCAAATTTGCAAAGCCCTTTGATCATAGTGTTGTACATAATTGCATTAGGTTCACAAAGTTTCTCTTTAATCAGTTTCTTGAATAATTTTTCTGCTTCGAGAATCCTATCTTCTAAGATGAGTCCATTTAAGAGTGTACTAAAAGTGCATACATCAGGTAAAATAGCACGTTTGAAGCCATAGCCAAGGACTACAAATCCTTCACTGGTGTGGTGCATTTGGCAACAACACTTTATGACAACGTTAATAGTGTAGACATCGATAGGTACATGAATGTCATTCATTTGTTTAAAAAGCTCGATTGAAATAGAAAAGTGTTTCGTATTAGTAACAGCTTGCAACAACTGGGTGAATTTAACGACTGATGGCAGAGGTTTTCTCTGTGTCATTTCATCGAACAGTTTGTGGACATCGTCAGGGTTAGTAATCTTTTTAGACATAGATCGAGAATGATTGAAAACTGTTTGATGATTGAAAGAATAAGTTGAATCAAACGGTGCTAAAATCGTTTTGGTGGGAGAGAATCCGGTGAATAATTCTATAAATGATGAAGGATTTTTGAAAGAAATAAGGGAAGAATGAGCAGTACCTTTCAATTTGTAAAGGAGATGGGAGATGACGAAAGATGAAACGATCGTCATCATCACTGGTTCACGTAACTACGAATCAATCAAACACTATTTTCAATTCACACGGATTTGGTATTAGCATTTTCGCATTTACAGGTTATTTTATTTTTATCTTTATTTTACGACTAGGGTTTTAATGTTTTATAAGTCAGTTTTTAAGGTGAACACGATCGATTTCTGAGTTCGACCCGTAAGTCAATCCAATTTCAAGAATAATCATGTTTTTTCTTGTTTTCATGTACACAATCAAGTTCAAACATGAAAAAAATCACATAAAAACAACTTCAAACATTAAAATAAACAGAAAAACAAGTTATGGATCACCTCAAATATATTTAAAAAATATAAAACTATACGTGTTATATCAATCCATATATATATATATATATATATATATATATATATATATATATATATATATAATATTGAAAAGAAAATAAAATATAATATCAAACAAATATAGTTTTAGATGAATACACATATAAAAAAGTTTCATGAAGTTTTACATGAATACAAATACATTAAAAAGTTTCATAACATTTACCATGTGTTTTATTCAATTTAAGATAAATATAAATAGATGATCAAGGTTTCTTATGAAAAATGTTTCATTTTTGTATGTTTTTTATTCAATTTAACCAGCTTAATTGTGTTTTTTTTGGTAAAAATTGTTCGATTCATTCCGGTACAAAAATAAACATAAAATCGGTGCTAGTAAACCACTCCACTCCCCGATTCTGGTTCAACCAATTCAAACTGGATTTTAAAACATTGGTTTACATCCGATATTGCCGAAAACTTTATCTTAGTTTTAAACAATGTGTTAAAAATCGGTTTTTTAGTTGAACCATGGCTACTGGTTTAAATTTTTCTTAGCCCTACTTTTACACCAAAAGAAGATATGGGTGACAAAGTTATCAAATAGAACTGTCATCCTCGGAAAAGAAGCAAAAATCTGAGCATTTCTGTAGCTCCAAATGTGCCACCAAAGCGAATAAAAAACGCCCTCCAACCATGAACCAACGCTTTATCAACTCTGAGCACCGTATAGAAGAAAACTAAAGCTGCCAATTTTCAAAAGAAGTAAACATAGTCAAACGACAGGAAAACAGATGATTCATGTTTACACAGAAAGAGAATCACAAGTAGCGCAAATCAAAGTAGCGAAAACATTAACTTTTATGGGCACCAATTTACTCCACTTAGTTTCAAAAGAGGTGGAAGGAAGAGTTTTTTTTATCAATGAACGATCTGACTGACTCCACCGTGAAGTCCCCTACTCCTGAAAAAGACCAAAACCACATGTCACAAGCAGACAACAAAGAAACGAAATCCAACAACTGGGAAAAAGCATCCCATTGAAAGGATTTGGCTCTCCCTCTAAGAGATCTAGGAAAAAAGGAATAGAAGGATCTCTGCTCTATTTTAGCTTGAATCATCACCTGTTTATCCATCTCAAGATTAAAAAGCCTTGGGAATTGACTTTTAAGAGAAGAACCTCCAACCCAAATGTCTTCCCAAAAAAAAAGGACCCATTTCTAATCTTCTTAGTACAAAAAGACATCAGATCAAGCCTTTTTCCTTTAAAATGATTGACTGCTTTTAAAATATCTAGTCAAATGGAAGGCCTCCCCATAGGTAACCGATGATCGATAAACGTGTTTTCTCCATGAATATATTTAACCACTTTTACCCAAAGATAATATGGAGTATGCAAATATCGCCAAATCCTCTTAAAAAGAAGAGCTCTAGTCAAAGCGAAGAAACTGCTAACCCCCAAACCTCTGTGTTTTTTGTGAGCTAAAATTCTTTTCCAAGCAATCCAACTCATTTTTTCTCATCCATATCAGCACCAATGAAAAACATTTTACGCATGGCTTGCAAAGAATTTGAAATACCAATTGGCGCCTTAACCAGACAGCTTGGTCAACACGGTTTCTACAACTTTCTAGTTTTTCTTATTTTCATGCACCTAAACAAGTTTAAACATTGAAAAAACAAAAAATAAAAACAATTTGAGTAATTTACTGAAATCGTCCCTGTGGTTTGGTCAAAATTGCGCGTTTGGTCCTTAACTTTTTTTTTTGCACTCGGATCGTCCCTGTGGTTTGATTTTGTTGCGTTTTTCATCTCTGTGGTTTGATTTTGTTGCATTTTTCGTCCCTTACATACATAAAGTTAGGGACCAAACATGCAATTTTTACTAAACCATAGAGACGAAAAACGCAACAAAATCAAACCACATGGATGATCCGAGTGAAAAAAAAAAGTTAGGGACCAAATGTGCAATTTTGACCAAACCACAGGAACGATTTCAGTAATTTACTCAAACAATTTTAAATGTTAAAAATATACAGAAAAGCAAGTTGTAGATCACTAGGAAAATTTTTATAACTCTTATAAAGGAGGTCATTCAAATACTTATATTTTGAACCATATTAATTTGAAACTCCCACTTTTTCATCTTATGCTAATTAACTATTTAATTAATTGAAATATTTTACCTATATAAAATGATTATTTTATGATTGGTTAGTCACAATGAAATAAATAGTTTGAATGATGATATATGTTCGAGAGAACTAAATATGGATATGATAATCAAGCTTTTGGAAGCCTAATAGGTAGTTGGGTGATTTGTGGGTTTCAATTTATATTCATATATTTTTCATTCTGTTTTCTTTATATTTCAAGAAAATATTTATGGTTGTATATTTGGAAGCAAATGAAAAAGATGACTATTTAAATTTATTTGTTACAATTAGTTGAATATTAGTTGAATATGTATTCTCTTAGTATGCAAAATCATATAAAATGTTTTTTATTTGATTCAATCGTTGGATCTGTAATTAATATAGTTATATGATTAATGGATATTTACACAAATAAGTGTGATTATAAAATTTTGACAACATTATGCGTGCTTCAATTTCAATGTAAAAGAATGCAAAATAAATTTATCATATAAGTTTTAATTAAAATCATCATTATTACTTTGTGTTTTTTGCTATGTTATAAGCATTTGTTAATAATAGATACATATGAGACATCCATACCTTATAAGATGGTCATGTAAATGAGAAAATATACAAATTAACTACAATGCCAAAAACCATATAAAAAATAACAAGAGATTAAATTAAAAAAAATAGCATAGAACAAAATAACACAATGGATGTATATGTATACCAACTTACAAAGTGTATATCTTGAAGTATTTTGATTCACAAACAAATGCAAACTCTCTATAAATATGTTAATCAAAATTCATAATAAATAAATTTACACTTATAAATATTATAATTAATTTTATAACTAGTGTCATATCCCTGTTTTGCGGGGGTTGGATTTTCATTCTACTGTTTCCGAAAGGAAGAAAAGTACAATGCTATAGCACTTACTCCAAGGTAAGTTTTTGGTGTCTATATGAAATGCCATTTAACATAAACAAAGATTAGATTTAAAAAGATAGTTATAAAACGTAACAAATAGCTCCGCTTATGGATATGTAAGTCGTATTTCTTTATCCAAAAGTATCTGATAGCTAAAGCTTATATACTTTTATTGAACAAAAATGTCATGAGTAACATACAATGTTAAAAATAAAGATTAAAAAATTAAAAACTTTTAATGGGTATTAATGTTTTTTGTTATTGAAATAGTATGTCCCAAGGGATATTGGGAAGGGTAGAAGTGGTATAGAAAAGTAAACATCCTACTTACATTTACTGTTACATCATTGAAATTCAGAAAAGTTAACTATTATCCTTACTTAAGTATGATGGTAAAAGTAAGCATCACTTACAACAACGTACTTTGAAAAAATTGTAGAAACCTACAAATTTTTGTAACTTATCTTGAATAAGAGAATAGCAAGTTGGTTTAGTTCTCCATATAATGTAAGAATCGAAGTTTCAAAAGTGAAACGACAAAAAAAAAATTACATTCCAATAATCATAATTTAGAAAAAATTATCCATCGTCTTAATGCATGACATGTATCAGTTTGATTAAAGAGCATCTATATACCCTTTTTTTATTTAAGGTTTAACCACTAAAGTTTGTATTAAGAAGGTTTGTGTTTTTTAGTTTCATTTCAATGAAACTTGAAATCAAATTTTACTACTTACCGGTTCAATTGGTAAACACTATCTAACATGCTTCTTATTCCGAAGACCACATTCTATTATACCATTTTACACGTGGAACAAATTGAAATAAAATGCATTCTCATTACTTTCTTCATCATCTTACGTATACAAAGCGTCTGAATGATCCATACTAACTTGCTAACATACACTTAAGTAACAAAGACATGAAGATGTAACAATAATTAACCACTAAATATCAAAATTATAGTTTTTAACTATAGTGAAATGACACTTTACTTGTCAATAATTATCAAATATCCCAACATCTGTATCTACAAGCAAGCCATTAAGACAAGTCAGCATATCAGATGATTAGAACATGTGGAAGGTGTGCATTGAATTAAAATCAATACAAGTGAAATATACAATAAAAATGTAGTCGTTGTGTTATTAGGCTACACGATTGGGAGAATCAGAGGAACAGAACAAAACTTTGTACTTGAAATCAAACAAAACTTGCTAAAAAAACCTTCAATAGAAGAAACAATAAATGAAAATGAAAAAAAAAAAAACACATAAATCGGTAAGATTTGGTTAAAAAATCAGTATTCGATACCTAATAGAACTGTGAGAAGGAGAACAATGTGAAGATCCAATTTTGATTTATGCATAAATCCAATTTTGATATATGCTTCCTTCCGTACGATTGAATCAAAAAGCTTTGATTAATGAAAATATTGTCACCTCCATTGATTATGTTACCTAAAAGCGACAACCCAAAAAGAAAAACAGTGGTTCGCCATGGTCTACAGACGCCGCCTAGGACAGATGGTAGCTTCCGATGGTCACAGCGGCGAGGGAGAAACGAAGAAGGTCAGACAGATGACATCTGAACATAGTAGCAGTAGAAAAAAAGGAGGAAACGGTCTTTGAAATCCCAAATAAGCTCTGATTCCTATTCCAATAGGCCAGACTCCATGTTACAGAACCCTAATTGAAAGTTACAGCCACTTCGTTTAAATTGACAAAATCAACTGGCCCCATGTTAAAAAAACTGTTAAAAGCTTTTACAACACTGATTGGGGAGAAATATAGAATGAAGACGAACGATTTTAGGTCACAGTACCTGAAAAAACACCAATCAATTGTAGGAAATGGGATTTGATAGGTACTTGGTTGTTCTTCCTCATGTTCTCCTTCCGGTCCTTCTTGACGTTGTTATATTTTTTTTCCGGCAACAACCGAAGATGGAGATGGTAGTGGAGCAGGTGGAAAAACCCTCAAACCTAGATCGCCACTTCAAGCATACCGCCCTCCTAATGAAATCAATTTGAGGCATGAAGAAATCGATTTCAGGTGTTACAAGGAGTCTAGAGGAGGTTGTTTGGTTTTGCTTTAAAAATACTTTTTATCTTTTTCTTTTTGAAAAAGTTAAAAAATTTAATAAGATTTTAAAAATTCTTTTAGAATAGTTTTGTTTAAGAAGAAAACACTCCTTTTCCAAAAGTTACTGAATGCTATTTTTTTCTAACTTTTGAGCTTTTAAAATGCAAAAAGTTAAAATTTCTTTTTGGCAAAAGTAATAAGTTAGGAAGAACTTTTGAAGTCTAAAAATTCACCCACACACCCCCATAATGTTGAGAGAAATCGAAAAGAAATTAGGATTTGCGGAGCCTTATCAACAGAAAGGAAAAAAAAAAAAAAAGGATGGAGATAAGGCGGTGGGCGATAAAAGGTGGAAAGATCTGGTCGGTATGATTGAGGGTGACCTGATGAACATCTTTCCTTCCCTCCACGTTTTTTTCTATATTACCATAACTCACTCCAATATAAACTTATTATCTTTAATTAATTGCTAATAAATTTAATTTCTAATGTACTAGTGTTTGATTTATATAAGATAAAATCTATTTTCGTATTTTCGCAAATTATTTACGTTTTCACATGAGCCTATATTATTTTCGTATTTTCGCAAATTATTTACGTTTTCACATGAGCCTATATATATATATATATATATATATATATATATATATATATATATATATATATATATATATATATATATATATATATATATGTAAATTTATTCGGACTGTGATTAGAGAAATAATCAATAAGTTAGTTTTAAGTGATTCAAAGAAAATACGATTTATAACGATAATATAACTTTTGAGTGAATTTTTTTTTTCTTATTGTTCCTAAAGCACATGAACAAATATAGAAGTAGGATGCTATAATACAAAAGATCAATTACAGTAGGTAGTTATTTCTTATATTTAGCCCGATCAGATAAGAAAAAAGCAAGTGATCAAAATGCATGTTGCTAAGGGTGCCATAGTGCTTGAAAAATTAGCAAGTGATCAAAATACATGTTGCTAAAGCTGCTAAAGTGCTTGTAAAATTGCAGATGGTAAGAAATTGATGCAACCAACTCTTGGCTGTCAAAGTGTTAGGTTTTTTTGCCCCATTTTGGAATTTCTTGCCATATAAGTGAAGCTAGGGAGAATTTCTAGTATAATATATAAATAATTTTTTTTGCTAACTGATTGTATTCTAACATATAATCCAACTACGACCGTTGAGGTAAAAATCAAAAGCCCAAAAAGTTAATGATTGTAATTTGTATGAGTTGGTGTACTCACATTCACTCACATTCTGCTCTCATCCTGAAACAATACAAAACGTAATCTGATTATGTAACAAAAATAAAAGGAAAAAAATTTAATACTTACTTTCCATTTTCTTGAAATAAAATGTTATAATTGCATAGTCTTAGTGACCTGACGAACATTTTTCCTTCCCGCCACGTATTTCTCTATATTCTACACCGACTCAAAATTAGAATTTGATATCAACACTCGTCTCTTTTATAAATCCAAGTAATTTTTACCTCTTTCTCTGGATTCCTTTGTTGATTAAATTTTGATTACGTCTCGCGTCCTACGTAATCGACCACCAACTTGTTGCTTTCAAATTGTTTCTCCTTTTGCAATATTTGGTATTTGCTTTTCTTTATAAAGAACATCTATGACAGTTAAAAAAAAAACTGATCTTCCCAAAAGAACAAGAAGGAAAAGAAAGATGAGTGAATGCTAATCTCAATAAGAGCTTTGCTTGCCAATATAAAAGCATCATTTGCACAAGCAATAACATCTATCAATGTGGAAAGACCTTGCATTTCATAAAAAGGAACCCTTGAAAAAAGTGTTAATTCAAATAAACCAAACGTCAAACAGTTCGTGTGTTATATCGAAATGAGCAACCAGTTTCACTTTGGAGGGTAACAAGAGGTACAAAGGGCAAACTTTCAAATAAGTCAAAATCACCCTACATTTCCGAAGTTAAGTGAGCATAAAACAAAATAGATAAAACCTAATTAAAGAGCACCATTTCAGCCATTCGGTAAGAGTATTAACTTGACTATCCAATAGACTTGAATGGCAGGGTTATGAGTGTCTCAAAATATTGTAAACTTTGATCATATATATATATATATATATATATATATATATATATATATATATATATATATATATATATATATATATATATATATTGAATGGCAGGGTTATGAGTGTCTCAAAATATTGTAAACTTTGATCATATATATATATATATATATATATATATATATATATATATATATATATATATATATAAGATTAAGCGATTTTTTTTCTGGGTAAGCTTTAGTTTCACAATTTGCCCACAAAGCATTTGGAAAGATAAAAAAAAATGTTAGTTATAAAACAATTTTGAGAGAGTAGAGATATCATATAATCTTGAACGAGTTCCTTCATAAGGAGTGCAATTTTCAAAGAACACAAGAATTTTCTGATCTGGGTAATCTTCATTTGTCAATTTTATCATAACTTTGCAAGAAAATATCAATATTTCATCTAGAAAGATTTAAATTTACCTCAAAATTAGTTTGTTTAACTGGTTAAGCTTTGGTTGATCAACAATCGGCTAAGCAACACGCACTTCTACTACAAAAATATTAATTAACACTCCTAAAATGAATTAAAAATAGACCTCCAAACATCTCTTCTCAGATAAATTAATGGTTCAAGTAAAAGTTGCAGTGTTGAGGACGAAAGCAGTAGAGTCTACATCCTATTAAAAGAAAGCCCAAGATCAAGTCATATAAAAAATTATCTTTATATACTGGCCCAAATAAATATACACCTTTAACGAAAGTATGGCAGAGTTGAGAGTAATATAAAGCCATTGAACATGATAGACATGGATGATAGATCACATAATAATATTTGGTGGTAATTCATTAAAGCAGAAATGACAATATGTTTCCTATAATTGCTTTGATATCATCTGCGGAAGTGAAAAGCATAAGAGCAATATCAAAAATAGATGAAAACAATAATTTTTACTTGAGATGTACCTCAACATAGTGTACTTGTGTATGAATCAAAGTGGCTTGAGGTATGTAGTCAAAGACATTTGACAATATGTTTCCTACAATTGCTTTGATATCATCTGCGGATGTGAAAAGCATAAGAGCAATATCAAAAATAGATGAAAACAATAATTTTTACTTGAGATGTACCTCAACATAGGGTACTTGTGTATGAATCAAAGTGGCTTGAGGTATGTAGTCAAAGACATTTGACAATATGTGTCCTATAAGTGCTTTGATATCATCTGCGGAAGTGAAAAGCATAAGAGCAATATCAAAAATAGATGAAAACAATAATTTTTACTTGAGATGTACCTCAACATAGTGTACTTGTGTATGAATCAAAGTGGCTTGAGGTATGTAGTCAAAGACATTTGACAATATGTTTCCTACAATTGCTTTGATATCATCTGCGGATGTGAAAAGCATAAGAGCAATATCAAAAATAGATGAAAACAATAATTTTTACTTGAGATGTACCTCAACATAGGGTACTTGTGTATGCACAATCAAAGTGGCTTGAGGTATGTAGTCAAAGACATTTGACAATATGTTTCCTATAATTGCTTTGATATCATTTGCGGAAGTGAAAAGCATAAGAGCAATATCAAAAATAGATGAAAACAATAATTTTTACTTGAGATGTACCTCAACATACGGTACTTGTGTATGAATCAAAGTGGCTTGAGGTATGTAGTCAAAGACATTTGACAATATGTTTCCTATAATTGCTTTGATATCATCTGCGGAAGTGAAAAGCATAAGAGCAATATCAAAAATAGATGAAAAAAATAATTTTTACTTGAGATGTACCTCAACATAGGGTACTTGTGTATGAATCAAAGTGGCTTGAGGTATGTAGTCAAAGACATTTGACAATATGTGTCCTATAAGTGCTTTGATATCATCTACGGAAGTGAAAAGCATAAGAGCAATATCAAAAATAGATGAAAACAATAATTTTTACTTGAGATGTACCTCAACATAGGGTACTTGTGTATGAATCAAAGTGGCTTGAGGTATGTAGTCAAAGACATTTGACAATATGTTTCCTATAATTGCTTTGATATCATTTGCGGAAGTGAAAAGCATAAGAGCAATATCAAAAATAGATGAAAACAATAATTTTTACTTGAGATGTACCTCAACATAGGGTACTTGTGTATGAATCAAAGTGGCTTGAGGTATGTAGTCAAAGACATTTGACAATATGTTTCCTATAATTGCTTTGATATCATCTGCGGAAGTGAAAAGCATAAGAGCAATATCAAAAATAGATGAAAACAATAATTTTTACTTGCGATGTACCTCAACATAGGGTACTTGTGTATGCACAATCAAAGTGGCTTGAGGTATGTAGTCAAAGACATTTGACAATATGTTTCCTATAATTGCTTTGATATCATCTGCGGAAGTGAAAAGCATAAGAGCAATATCAAAAATAGATGAAAACAATAATTTTTACTTGAGATGTACCTCAACATAGGGTATTTGTGTATGATACAACGTGGCTTGAGGTATGTAGTCAAAGACATTTTACAATATGTTTCCTATAACTGCTTGGATATCATCTGCGGGAGTGAAAAGCATAAGAGCAATATAAAAAAATAGATCAACACAATCATTTTTACTTGAGATGTACCTCAACATAGGGTACTTGTGTATGAATCAAAGTGGCTTGAGGTATGTAGTCAAAGACATTTGACAATATGTTTCCTATAACTGCTTTGATATCATATGCGGAAGTGAAAAGCATAAGAGTAATATCAAAAATAGATGAAAACAATAATTTTTACTTGAGATGTACCTCAAGATAGGGTACTTGTGTTGGAATCAAAGTGGCTTTAGGTATGTAGTCAAAGACATTTGATTCTTTTTCTTGGGTCTCACTTTACAAAACTCTAGAAGATCAATAACAATGAAAAACCTAATAGCATGATGACCTATCGTTCTATAAGGAATTTCATTGAACAGTTGGT